CCCACCCCTCTTTGTCAACTTTGAGGTCACTGCCATGGGCACATAGTCTGAAACACAGAGAGCAAAAGGAATGACAGTGACACTTGATGACTTGGGAGGATGAGGCAGGAGGATTACAAGTTTTAGGCTAGCCTGAGCAACTTTAGTGAGAGCCTGTCTCAAAATACATGCATGCATATATAAACAGATAAGTAAGTACATAGTTGAGAGCATAGCTTAGTCTTAGAAAACTTGCCTAGCATGTGCAGGGGCCTAGGTTTAGTCGCCAATTCTGTAAATAATAACCGGAAACAAACAGAAAATCTCAACCAAACAAGCCAGACACATGTGTGCACACGTACACAGGCACAGACTTTAATAAAGCATATTTCTAGCTTACTTTGATTATTAGCCTCAGAGTCAGTGACCAAAAAAGCAGAGGACATCAATTACCAGTCCTCATTGACATAGATGGTAGGCCTTGCCATTCTAGATAAAAAACAAGGGACATAAAAGAGAACCCAAATGAACAGGAATTTATGTGAAGCCACCTCTGATTTGTGGCCTCTCCAGTGTCCCCTGGAGGGCAGTGTGCTTGGTGTTCTTTGTCCCTTGCCCAGGCCCCTCCATGGGCTTTTTCCAAGTGTGGATCATGCTTTGCAAACTAGGACTGCCAGCATTGTATGAGACTTTTCCTCTCATCTTGAGGCTGAGAAGGAAGAACAGGCAGGGGAAATCCCCTAACTTGGGTGGCTAGAAGAGGGCAGAGCAGGGGTACAAAGTTGACTCAGGAGATGGGAGCAAGATGGGAGCTGGGCGCTCTCTCTCTCTCTCTCTCTCTCTCTCTCTCTCTCTCTCTCTCTCTCTCTCTGTGTGTGTGTGTGTGTGTGTGTGTGTGTGTGTGCGCTCCTTCATGCCCTGCCTAGGAACCTCCTTCTAACAGGGACTCCTCTGTTGTTGTGGCTCCGAGCTCCACTGGAGCAACATACTTTCCCAGTGATGCCACTGGATTCCTGATGTGTGACACCGCAGGGCAGCATGGTGAAGGGTGCCGTTGACTGCCTTGGGGGCCCCAGACAGGCCTGCCATTGTGAGTCACATTTAACATGTGAGCTCCCCTTTCCCATGGCTGGCACTATTCTTAGTACCAGTTTCTGCTCTGGGGGACAGAGGTTCCCTGGGACTACAATCTTTTGGGTAGATGGTTGGGGCCAGGATCAGGGAAGGGAAGGTGAAGGGAGAATTGAGGAAGCTTTGAAATTTCAGAGCATGTTGGAGCAAGGGCAAAGGAAGGTGGCTGAAGCCTGAGGGTGTGAAAAGGTCTATGCTAAGCAGTCCAGAAATTGTTCTCAGGAGACCTGTAACAGGGACTGCAAGTCTCATTCATGAGTCTGGGGCGGGGACTTGGATATGGCTGGCAGATATGCAAAACCCAGTAAGTATTGCAATCCCAGAGCTGCCTTCAAGCTTGTGCTTCCGTGTGGACCCAATTTTGCCTCCAGAAGTGAGAGAGTGAGGCTGTTGTGTTGCTGTAGGAACAAGGTCCTTGTGACACCATTGAGGAATGAGGTAATGTGGGAGCCACAGTTCTGTACCCTTCCTTATTCTGTGGCTCTCTCCAACAGAAGGGAAATCTGTAGTCAGTGAAAAGGCACCTGTGGGGAAGTTAGTTTTATGAGGAACCATGGAATTGTCTTGTTGGGCACAACAGTATAGGTTCTTATCCCCCTCCTTTTGGTGGGTAGGAGAGGAGTCTTACTATGTAGACAGGCTGGCCTTGAACTCTCACTTCTGATTCTGCTTCCTGAGTGGTAGCACACCTAAATGCCAGGGGGCTGTCAGAGGGATGCATCAGCTAACCTGTTTTTCTGCAAGAATCCCAGGATTGAGGCTTGAGTTGACATAACTGCTCTCTCAATTGTCTTGTTAATCCACCCAGAGATATTTCTTCCCTTTCAAGCCCCTCTCCTTAGCTGCATACTCTACCTGTTTTATTTTTGGTAGATGTGGAATAAAAGACTTCAAGAGTAGGTGACCCTAGGACTTGGGTTACCAGTGCCCAGAGTTAACATTTTTATGATCCCTCTGAACATAGAAAAATTCACATGGGAAAAGAAATCTTCTCGGGCAAGGATTCACCTGTCCCAGCCATATTCAGACATTAGTGGGAAGGTGCACATAGGCTGTAGTAGGGAGCTCTTTGGAATTGAAATTAAGTGACACTGTAGGAAATGAAGGTAACACTGTCCCCTGAGCTTGTACTGATTATGTGATTGGATACTTCATACCCTTTTCTGTCCCAGCCTTTGTACTGTACTCCTGAGCCTTCTTCTTTAGGACCTGCAGATATGATTGCTATCCACTCTCAATGACTAGGACCTGCACACATTCTTGCTACCCCCTGTCAATGAGTATGATTTATACATATGCTTGCTACACCCATCAATGACCTGGACCTGCCTGGGTCTTCCCATCTTTCCACCCCTTTCCTCAGCCTGATATTCAGCTTCTGTCTGAGAGAGACTTTTAAGACAGTGTGAGAGAGGTTTTGATACTGTAAAACTTAGCCACTGCAGGGGGCCTGAAGGGGTCAGTAGTGTCACTTATTGGGGTGGGGACCCAAGTTAGTAGGTGGTGTGTCTTTCAAGAGTCCTGTGATTACTGTGAGAGCAAGGAAGGTAGTTCCTCACAGCCAGATCCATTTAGCACTTAGGTCACTGCAAGCAGGCAGTCAATTTAGTTAGGTTCATGGCTTTTGTTTTGGACAATGCAGTCAAGAATCTTAACCTAGGTGTTCTATCTACTTCTCCTCTGAATGGCCTCACCCAAGTTAGGTTAACCATCGTGCACATTATGTTTTCTTCCCTCTGAAAAGTGGTAGAAACCAACAGACTAACAACAGCATCTATCCCATAGGGTCACTGAAAATTCAAAAGCAGAAGGTAAAGCATAGATGTGTCTAATGTAGTGAAGGCCAAGGTGAACTGTGGCTCTCCTTGGTGTTTTGTTAGGGTTTTTCTCATATCTGAGGTCTGTAGTGTTGATACAGAGTAATCAGAGAACTCTGATGTCAGCTTCTCTGCATTTGTTTTTCAGGGATACAGCTGATTGTATAAGATTACTGAGCATCACCAGGAAACTAATTGACATCAGGGCCATTATAGGTCCTTTCCAAAGAGCAGTTTGCTTTCTTAGCTCCTAGGTCACTGACAAGGGCTTCTCAGTGGGTCTCTCATTTGCCATGTTTAGCTTCCAGCAGCTGCTGACTTAACTTGACTCCCAGGAAACTGAGTTGTGTACTAAGTGGATTTCTATAAACAGATAGATATGGAGTAAGAGAAGGCTTTACAGCACTCTGGGTTCTTTTATTCAGATAATTCATTTGCTTGGAAGGCATTTGCTGATGCTTTCGTTCTTAGCTATGGATCTTGCAAGATGGCTTCATGGAGCCAAAGGTATGTTCTCAATTTGGTGAGGAAGCGCTGATACATTTACCACATGCAGCTTGTGTGTGCTATGGAGAGACTGAGCTCCTTCGGCTGCTATGTTGGTGTCTGGCCCTATATACTTTCTCCTGCGGTGTTGAGGAAAGCTGCCCTGGTATTTTGAGTCTGACTTTGGAGCAAAGTCGCTTCACATTTCTGAGTACCAGTAGCTTAGAAGCAATAGGGCTTGATGAGCCCTGCTCTCAGCCAATGTGGGGCAACTGTCTATGAGCATACCTTGGAAGAGTATAAGCTAGAATAAGAGGTGAGCCTCACAGGGCATAAAGGATATTCCTTTTTCGATAGAGACAATTCTAAAGTCTGTTTCTTGTTGATTCTGAGTTTACTTTGGAGCAGAAACATACATTTTTTTAAAGTTTAGGTACTAGAATATTAATGGTATAAGGTGTAGTATAGACATTTAGCAGAAGGTACTGACAAGTAAACCTATCTATCTAACAATATCCTTAAATTAGATGAGATTGATTTCTTACCATTTCATAATAGAAAGATAACCTAAAAGGAAGATGTGTAGATTAAATCTTTTAGAATAAGCGATTTTTTACTATTAGGGTACACTAGGCCTTCTAGTATTAAGCTCTTGTATGGGTAGCTAGGAGGAGAAATGGGCACATATACAGAGAGAGAAAAAAGAGAAGGGGGAGGGAATGCTATAATGAGAACTAAAGCTGTGAAGACAATACAGGGCAGTCCTCATCTGACCTCTGAGGATCCCTTGGGTGGCAAGCTAATTCCTCACATAGTGGCAATGCATTCCATTCTTAGTCCTGGCCTGGATGTGGCAGGGGTGGAGCCAAGGTAGAGAAAATCATCATGACTGAAGGGCATCAAGTACCTGTTCCTTGTGAGAGGATACAGACATGGAGATAAATCCTTCTTCACCACCGCAGGTCAGAGCCAGAAGCCCCTGCTGTGGAAAATACCTCTGAGCTTTGATTTCTGCCTGGACTGGGCAAAGACTTTCCTTTCTTCTAAGGCAAATTTAATGACTTAGTATTTAAAGGCATGTAAAATACTCCCTGATAGCCGTGACAGCATACACTTTTAATCACAGCATTAAGGAAGCAGAGGCAGAGGCAGGTGGATCTCTGGATTTGAGGCCAGCCTGGTCTACATAACAAGTTCCAGGTCAGCCAGGGCTACATAGTGAGTACCTCTCTCAAACCAAATAGACAGAAAAGTAGCCAGGATTGAACTTCCTTAGAACATCTTCGAAGACAGACTGATTTTCTTTCCAGAGTTTGCATAACCATTAAAAGAAAATGACCCAGAAATTAATACAGAACAGGCAAGTGATATATTATCTCATGTGAATGTCCTTGTTTCTTTTGGAAGGATGATCTGCATGTTCTCTGAGATCAGAGTGCTTGCTCCGGTGTTTGTGCTGAAGCTTGCTTCAGTTTTCTCCTATCTTGACAGGAGGAGGGGAGGGATGTGGGCTGCTGTGAGGTAGGACTAGCTGCTGTGAGCCTAGAGTCTGTGTTGTTAATGATTCACTGTGTCTTGTGCTTGCAGGCAGCGGGCCAATCCAGCTGTGGCAGTTTCTTCTGGAATTACTCACTGATAAGTCTTGCCAATCTTTCATCAGCTGGACAGGAGATGGCTGGGAATTCAAGCTTTCTGACCCAGATGAGGTAAGAAATGAGTGAGTCCCAGGCTGAGGCAGGGCGAGAGAAAACCCTGGGATTGTGACCCCCTGGGCCTGGATTATAAGCTTAGCCCCACCACTTCTTGCTGATCCAGTGGCCCCAGAACCAATGATGCAGCCTGCCCCCATGTAATGATAAGTCTTTCCGCCAAAGCCACCCGAGCCCTGCCATCACGTGTGCACTTTCCACCAGGCTGCCTGAGTTCCACCTGCTGCCACGTTAAGGTCCCAAGTAACACACAGAGACTTATATTAGGTACAAATGCTGGTTGGCCAATGACTAGGATTTCTTATCTGCTAGCTCAGTCTTAATTATCAACCATAATCATCATCTATGTATTTTATAAGATTTATCTTACTGGACACCAGCAGCAGGTGCCCTCTCTTGCCGGTGGACCACATGGTGGCTCTAGAGCAGAGAGCAGGAGGAAGAGCAAGAGAAAAAGGGATGACTTCCTGTTTGTCCCTGCTTATATATGAGTCTGCCTGCTATGTCACTTCCTGCCTGTATAGCAAGACTTCTTTTTACTACATTTCCCAGAATCCTCCTTGACTCCTAGTCCCACCTATATCTTGATTTCCTATTGTCCAATAGTACTTTATTTATCAACCAATAAGACAAACATATACACAGAAGGACCTCCCCCCAAACTCCTGAGCTTCAGCTCTATCATTGGCAGAACAGAAAGTATGCAGACTGTCCATTTGCTTTCTGGGACAAACTGATACATTTATAAAGTCCTGGCACACAGTTGGCCCTTCATCAGTAGAGGCACCTTCTGTGCAACTCACCCTCTTCCTAGTCACTGGCTCTGTAGATTTGAGAGGCCTTGCAAGATGGGTGTGTTTTATTCACTTTTTCATCCTTTTGTCCCAGAGGGCTTGTTAAGTGGTTGATCTGTGCCACACCTGATTCCCATGCAAAAAATGAGTGGATATGAGAGAGGGGATTTTTCTTTTGCAGACATGAGAAAGTGTTCACACTCTGGTACAGAAAGCATGTTTCCTGCTGCTGAATGCAGGGGTAGCAGCTCCACCCTCCCCTGCACACCTCCCTGTCCAGTCTTGTGCTTTCAAATTAAGGACACCTGCTTTTATAATGTGGGCTAGAGGGATGGGTGTGCTGTGGCTCTTCTTTTTCCTTCAAAATAAAGCATTTTAACCTTATCCCATATGAGCTTAGAGTCACCGTGTTTTCATCACTTTAAATAATTAAATTGAATCCAACACGTGGAAACTAAACTTAGAAATTCTGTTGCAGTAATGTGTATGGAATGGGACTGCAGTCTAGTAAGAGGAATATGCTGGGCTCAGAGAGACAGCACATAATCTCACCTACATTTAGAAACTGAATTGCAGGCCCCATGGAAGTAGAGAATAATATAGTGATTATCAGAGCCTGAGCAGGAGGAGGGGAAAGGGATGGAGGGACTGTGACTACTGAAGGCAAGGGTGCTGTGACAGGAAGAAGTAACTTTGGAGTTTCTGTGGTATTGTAGGGTGGCTGTAGGGCAGTCATCAGATATTTCAGAGTGGCTGATGGGGGTTATTTTGAATGACCCCCAGAAAGTAATGGTGAATGTCTGAGGCTAAAGACATGCCATTTAATCTGATCTGATCATTATTAAAATGTGGCACTGTACTATCCACATTATCCACATTTTGCTGAAATACTCTCTGAATTTCCATGGCTTCTTAGTGTACATTCCATATTCAGTTACTGTGGACAATGCAAAATATTTTTAAGAAGAAAAATGGAATTCAGAGGGACTAACTCAGAACTATGTACACACTAGAATGTCTGAGCATTCTATTTGACCATCTTGAGTCATGATGGAGGTGTAGAGGTACATTATCTGTATTCTGGTACTCTACAATCTTTTACCTGCTTTCTATTTAATTTCATTTTATTTCAGGTGGCCAGGAGATGGGGAAAGAGGAAAAACAAACCCAAGATGAATTACGAGAAACTGAGCCGTGGCCTTCGCTACTATTATGACAAAAATATCATCCACAAGACGGCGGGTAAGCGCTATGTGTACCGCTTCGTCTGTGACCTGCAAAGCCTTCTGGGATACACCCCTGAGGAGCTGCATGCCATGCTGGATGTGAAGCCAGATGCTGACGAGTGATGGACACAGGAAGGACTGGGGGAACCCTGCTGAGACCTTTCAAAGGACTGTGTTGGCTGGACTCTTAAGTTTTAATTGTTATTCTATGTTTTATTTTCCAGAACTCAATTTTCACATTCAGGGGTGGGAGCTAAGGGAGCTGCAGCTGTATTGGCCATTGGTGAGGCTGAAAGAGAAAGGCAGGACCTCTGGGGTGGGTGGGGCAACAAGTTCCTGAGCAGATTTTTCAGGAGAGAAATAAAGGTCTTCTGGGAAGCGTGGTGAACCTGGCTTTTGAGGAGGAAGAAACAAATGTAAGAAAAAAAGCCCATCATCAGTTATGGATCTAATAGCAGGAGGACTTGTCACATCATGAGTAATAAGATTGATGAGAATCAATCAATTTGGAGGGTGGGATAAAAACATTTTCTTCAGGGGATTACTAAAAAGAAGAATTATTAACCTTTCTACTTTTTGAAACAAAGATGGACTTCAATGGAAGGGGTCCAAAAGTGTTTTTACGTTAAAGTTTATTTTATTAAATTTTGTGCCAGTATTTTTTTTTCTTACAAAATTGTCTTAAGCTCTAAGGTGGTCTCAGTATTGCAGTATTGTGAGTTGTTCTTATCTGCTGGTTGAGGATTCTGTCACAGTGAAAGGCAACTGTTTATATAGACCCCATCGGAAAATCAAAGCTATGTGCTGAGATCAGAGACCCCAAACTCACCTGACTTATAGCTGAAGGAAATGAATGCTGATTCGGGAGCAGTGGAACTGTGCATGTGAATTCTACCTGCAGTTTGTATAAAATATTCACATCCCTTTACTTGTCATTTAGAGGACTGTCAGGCTTTGGGCTTAGTGTTACTTAAGGGGCCTTAAGTCTTTGCACTGAATGTATTTTGCAGCTCTGATTTGGGACTGTTGTCAGCATAGGGACACTGTTAAAAGTCTTGGGAAGGAAACTGAAGGAAGAAGATTAACCTGGCTTTTGATTAAATCTCTACCTGAGACATAGATGACTCAGAATAAAAGTGGTTTGCATGGGCATTACCCCTCAGGTCGTAAGTAAACCCCAAATGCATGCCATCCCAAATGAACACTCTACAATTTCTCTTCTATGTCTTATTTTCCTAGCATCCCACATGGTTGACCCCCCTACTCCAATCTCATTGTTCAGTAGAGTGGAATGTAATGCTTTCTGATAGGTGAGTGGAAGTGTAATTTTAGACATCAAGACATGAATCAAAGTACAGACTTGCTAGTCTCAGAGGTCATGGAAATTCAGACAGTGTTTCAGTAACAGGTGACTTGGCCTTCTTTGGGAAGGGACAGGAGCTTGTCAGGGAGGACTTGGGTGATGCTGTTTGCAGAGGAAGTGGTAGAGAGAGCTGGAACCTGGAGCTTGACCTGTTATCTTGGTAGAAGTGAAAGTCAACTGCAGATGAGAAGAATGACTTCAAGGAGTGAATACAAGAGAAGGAGCTTGGTGAGGAGAATAAGGTGGTCCATGGTATTTAAATATGTTTTTAGTTCCCTCAAAGCTTAAATACGAAGAGTTAATTGAGGCAGTCATCTTCCTGTCAGTTGGAAGGGGAGACCTGAAAAGAATGTATTGAGAGTAAAAACAAAACAAGGAGAGTCCTGGTAGCATTAGGACCCCTACCACTGTATACTTGCTTGGTTAAGACAATGATAGTGGATGTCATGAGAGAAAAGAGTCAGTTGATTGAAGTGGGCATCTCCAGGCTGGCCCTTTTGGGGATTTTGCTAAGAAAATGAAAATTGTAACTACCTTGTATCATCTTTGTGAGATTTGATGGCTGACTCTCAGATTCCCTCGAAGACCCTGAATCACTAAGAACATAACTCTTGTCCATGGATGTTCTGTACTGATTGAGTGGAGCATCCACACAAGGAAGTGAAGGCAAAACATCCCAGCTATATATTTTGATCTTACAGATGCAGGTGCCTTAATAAAGCTCTCAAAATATTTAGGAGCTGCTCAGGGAGTATTAGGTGGGATCATTTGGATTATGTTGTTTTATATTATGTGATCTTTGTTGGGCACTGGCAGTGTGTGTGTGTGTGTGTGTGGGTGTGGGTGTGTGTGTGTGTGTGTGTATCTGTGTGTTCTTGTGTAAAACTGCAGCTGAAATAATACTGAATTTTCTACTTAGGTCTGTCCACATTTCTAATGATGAAAGAGTACAGCCAGGGCCGATATCATTGCTTGCTGTTTGTAACAGGGCTTTAAACAATTATTTTCCCAAATAATCCTCCTCTCCTATTCAATTCATGCTGAGAAATCCCCTACTGTGAGTCTATTACCTGCAGTCCCCATGGCAGATGAGATGTGAGAAAGTGCCTCCTTGCACCTCTCAGCTCGCTGACTTGCCAAGCTGCCCTTTCTCCCCAGGTCCACCATTTTCAGGATTTGTAGATAGTATGTTAGGCAGACAGCTATGTTGTCCATCTGGCCAGATGCTCTTTCTCCTTTTGTCCAAAGGCCAGAGACCATCCTAGGAAGAGTGGTGGGTGGTTTATACACTGGAAATGTAGCAGCATTGTTGCATTGATGCTCTTTAAAAACACGTTAACTTCAGAGGAAGGATGAACAAATCTGATCTAGCTGGGTGACACTCTTGTTTTCCCAGAGAGACGCATTAACCTGTGTGTGGCTTTTGACTCAGAGTCCAGGAGGAGGGGAGCTCCCTACATGGAGCTCTAGTTTTGTGGCCGTGGAGATTGGTAGAAGCATTTCTAGATCAGAGGCGCTCTTCCTCACTTTGGAGACCAACACTCTGGGTTTTAAAGCATTAACCTTCGTGGTGAAATCACACCTTCTCTCTTCCAGTCATGCTGTGCATGCTGCTTTCTGTGTTGGGGTCTATATAAATTTGTTGAACTCTTACATACATTCCAAAGACGTTTCATGGAACCACAAGTATATGTATACAAATACATATATGAAGTATATATGTTAAAATGAAATTATCAGGAATACTGCCTCAGTTATTGAATTTTTTTTAAAAGAATACTTTTTTTTAAGCTGAGAATTATTGGGGTGAAAAGATGTTATATTGTGTTTGACTATTTTCCAACTTGTATTTTCATATAATTTATATTTTTTAAATGCTGAAAATTTAAAAGCGAGATTTAAAAAGGAAAGCAGGTGCTTTTTACCAATCAGAACTGAGGTAGCTTAGAGATGTAGCGTGTGAGTGTCTATATGGTTTTTTTTTTTAAAAACAAATGCAAAAAAATTCTTATGGGGGAGTTTTTTGTTGTTTCTTTTAGTAGCTGATGCTGGCACATCATTTTGCTGGAAAGTTTTTTATATACTGTAGCCTGATTTCATATTGTATTTTAAACTGTGTGAAATTAAAGAAACAAAGAAATTCATTCATAACTAGGTGGCTCTGGCTTGATTCTTTCCTGTCTACATCATGGGAAAATTAGGAGAAATTAATCAACCAGAGGGGGAAAATCACAGAAGAAATACAGTTTAGTTCCTCAGACTCTGCAGCTTGGGATCATTTTAGATAAAGATGGACTAATAGAACTTTAGAGATATAGGGACACAGTCTTAGCATCTCAGTGATTTCCTTCATTGTTTATTGCATCCTTTGTGGATGAACATGCTTTGTCAAACCTCATCCCTTCATGTCTGAAGGACTAAGAACCATGGAAAGAAAAATTGTAATTGACTCTACAGGTAGCCATTGGAGTCCAGCTAGTTACAGTTCCTGATACTAATATAGACAGATGACAGTGTTCTTTCTGATGATAGCTTTGCCCTTTGACAATTTGGACTTATCATATCCATCTCTTTGGCCCTCACTCTTCCACTGGGTCTGGGAATTGAGAGTTATAATATCTGTTAGGACCCCTCCAACATATGTTATGAGTAGAATATGTACTTCCAAGTGTTTGGGGGGAAGAATGCTTAGGGCTGCATTCTACATGCTGCTCTTTTTTGTTGAAACTGTAGAAGGTGGATGTTTTTAATTAACACCAACGTTTGCAACATGAATCCAAACTCACAGCTGGAAAGAGAATTTTTGCTGAATTGTTCACAAAGAGAACTCTGTTTTTGGAAAATGTGTTTCTTCGGCCCTGGAACTTGAGGTTTGCTGAGCACACGTTAAACACAGACTGTGTGGTCTAGTGGTCAGGGAGCCCAGCTGGCCCGGAGAATGGCTTTGGTCTTGGGAGCCTGGTGAAGTTGCCACTACTAATGGACAGATTTTGAGGGGGAGGGTATTGAGGTCCTCAAATTTTGTGCCTTTCAGCTATAAACCTGGGCAAAGGCACTACTCCCAAGCCAACCTGAAGCCACATCTGAGATCTTCTGTCCCTGAATAAACAGTTCATAGAGAACTGATTCCAGCTTCAGTCAAGGCTTTGGGCAAAAAGTGTTCCAAGTTGCCTTTATTTCTCAGAGTGTCTGACTACATGCTGACCAGGGTGAATAGCATAAGGCATACATGAATGGAGTCAGGTTAGGCTTTTCTATACAGCTGGGGAAGTCACATTTCCAATGGGGAATTCTCAGGCAGCTGGACTTTGTTGTTCTCTTAAAGACACCAGAGAGACACTGTGCTGAAGCCATTGTGGAGGGAAATGGCATCAAGACAGCAACGATTGTAGGATTGGAAGGGATGGGACTAGGTAAGGTACAAGAAATGGAGAGAGGAGACATTTTGAAGAAGGTGGTGATACAGACTTGACATGCTTTCAGAAGGTTTCAGGATAAGATGTGCCATGTGCTTTGAATCCTACTGTCATGACAGTATAGCAAATTACCAAAACAAAGCTCTGAAATGCTTCCTTCCTCTGCATTGATCAGCTGATACCCATTAGTCTGTTTTCTGTAGCTATAACAGAATAACTGAACTAAGTAGTTGAGAAAAGAGTTTTCCTTAGTTCATAGTTTTGGAGAGCAAAGTCCAAGGTGAGTGACCTTATGTATTTGGCCTCTGGTGAGGACTTGAGGGTGGGTGGCATCATATTGGGAAGGTATGGATAGAGAGACCTTACCTGATGACATAGGAAGTCACAGGGATCCTGGGCCAAGCTTACTATTTTCATAATAACTCCTCCATGGAAACTAATTTTTCAAGACCAGCATGAAGCTGGGCGTTGGTGGTGCACGCCTTTAATCCCAGCACTCGGGAGGCAGCGGCAGGTGGATCTCTGTGAGTTCGAGACCAGCCTGGCCTACAAGACAGCCTCCAAAGCCACAGAGAAACCCTGTCTCGAGAAAAAAAAAAAAAAAAAAAAAAAAAAAGACCAGCATGAATGCCTTCTGAGGCCATGTGCTCTGGACCTAACCACTTTCCACCAGAATCCATCTCTCAAAGGTTCCACCACCACACTGGGGATTAAACCTCTAGCCCATGAGTCTTTGCATGACAGATTCAAACTATATCCAAACCATAGCAAGAGTTTCCCATCATAGTGACATGTAAGTGTTTTAACCTATAAAGCGATTGTGACATGTGCTTTGGACAGAATAAGAGAGAACATATAAGCTAGTGGTGACATAACAACACCCTATGACTGAGATGGTGCATTTGTCCTTCAGAGTGTCTACTAGCATAGCGCAAGTGACTGTCCTGATATAGGTAGGAGCTCTGCATGGGCACTCAATAAGCTATCTCCTTTGGATGAGTGGGAAGCTTTGTTTCATCCCCACATGGACCAGCCCCCTGCATCTACATTCTGGCCTATTCCCTGTAGAGTGTGAGTTTATGGCTCTTCGGTAGATACCTATCCTCAGTCCCCATTTATCTGACTTGAAGCTTATTAAATTCAAGAAACTCTAGTGGAAGAGAGTACAAAAGGTCATCGGGGTCATCAGTGAGCCATCTGACCTCTAAGCCCCCGTTTTTTCCATTTTGCCCTGTGGTTTCCATAGAACTTGAAAGACTTTCTTTGAGGACACAAGGTGATGGCTCACCATCTGTGGGAGCCATAGCCCTGGTACTAAGAGGTACTTCTAACCATGGGGGAAGGGGACAAAGTCTCCTTTCAGTCAGGATGCTTTTCAACCTTCAGAATGCTCCCTGGCCTCTCCCTTTCCACAGAATCCACCCTGGAGGTGGTTTGTGATGTGGTCTGTTTGTACAGGTTTCGAGGTTCTTTGACTCACCTGGAAGCTGGCGCTAGTACCAGCCCTAGTTAATTGGTGCCTGTCCCATTTTGGATGAGCTTATCTTTGGTTGCTTACAACCCACCTCCATGTTATAAGAACATCCATGGTCCTAAAAGTAATGAATAACAGAAAAAAATACTTTCTTGGTGCCTCTTGTAATGAGACAGATACTCTAACAGTCAAATTACAGCACTTTTTGATCAATTGGTGAAAAATCACACGGCTAAGTTGGGAGTCATATCCATTAATTGAGAGCTCAGAACCCATGTTAGGGGATAAAGTGGACCTGACCTCTGACTTTGGATCAATGCCATTTCCTGTTTTACTTAATGTCGCAGTCTCCTCCTTTGTTTCCATTTTCCTGACAAATACATCTATCCTGGGAAAGCCACTTTTTTCAATTGCCTGGCATATCTCTATGTGCTGATGTCCAATGTAATGATAGCAATGACCATCTGCCCACAGCGACAAGAGGAAATCTATGATGGCTAGGTCTTGTGACATGCTTCCCAATTCCCAAAACCTGCAGGGGGTTTACAGACCTGTTTCCAATCTCTCATCACTGTCGGTCAGGCTCTGATGCTCTCAGCCACAGCATTGCACAGAACTTTGATGTTGGGATGGCTCTAGTTGCTCCTTGTGATACGACATAGCAAGGCAAGGAAATTTTCAGCAGCCACTTGTGGTAATTACTAAGGTCAAGAGATGGCCAGTGTCTCTTCTGAGTCTCCTGCTTGACACTATCAGCTTGAGCCATTGGATCTGAGCCATAGCAGGCCACTGTAAGCTTTGTGTAGGCAAATGTGAAACTGCAGCTGACTCTTCAGGATCTGTTCCCAAGGTGCATCTGGAAATGACAAGTGAGCAAAGATACTGGAAATGGTACCAGACTTCACAGGCCTACAACACTGAACTATTGGCTGCCTCTGAGATTGCCTTGTTGAGGCAAGACTCCTCCAAAGTACGGAGGGAAGATGGCACTAGGGACTTTCTATATACTTGGGGAATGGTGCAGTGTTCCTAAGAAATGGTGGCTGGCCTCACAGATCTCTGAGATTGCAAGTTCAACACAGAGCTGGGGATGTAGCCCTGTGATAGGGCACTTGTCTACCATGTGTAAGGTCCTGATAATGGAATAAAGGAAGGAAGAAAGAAAGGGAACAGTACAGTCCAACCCCAAACAAATTTCTACCAATGACTGAGTTGAGATCCCATTTTTCTTCCAAGCTGTCATTTAGATCAGTCTCTTTCTAATTTTTCTGACTTGCATGGGAATAGAAGGTTCACAAATACAGTACACAATTAAATATAGTCCTTTAATTGGGGACATAGACACATCTGAAAATTTTTGTATAATAGTATATATGCATCTTAGATAAGATAATAAACAATGACTGGTGTTTGGAGTCATAGATATTTAGGTATCTTATATATATATATATATATATATATATATATATATATATGTACACATGCCCTTGTGGAATTTAAAGTAGGTTTGTTTGTTTTATTTTGTTTTTTAATCATAGAGCACCAGAGAATTCAAGTGTGCCACCTTCATGATGGTGGCGGCACATATTCATTGCTCTAAGACCCAGTGTGTAGCCTCCTTGAAATCCTGCATCAGAACTCTGATTGAAAATTTCAAATAGTCTACTCTCTGCTGCTGTAAGTGACAACCCAAATCTTGAAGCCTAGCTAACAAGGGCAAAATTAAAACCAAAGGGTGACCACATGATTTAGGAAATACGGGATCATTCCAGTGTCCTCCATCATCCTGGGTAGCTCTGCTTCTGCCAGTTCTTTTCTCTTCCATAGTACTTTACAAGGTCTCCTTGGTAAACTCAACGATGGCTAAGCCTTGTAGGTGTGTCAAGTCTTCTGCCATTTTATCACAACCTTGTTATCTACAAAGCTCATGGTCAATCAAGTTACAAAAAAGAAAAATCACAAAACAAAAAAGTCCCCCAAATCTCACAATGTTTTAAACTAATGATCTTCTGGATGGGACACATCCATAATCATTCTAAATGCTGATGGTGGACCCTACTCGACACTCTTAGAGGAATGATGGGTTGAGGGGTGAATGCCAGAACTCTAAGATTCTACAGTTTTAGAGTCCAAAGGGACCTTAAAATGATATTATACAGTCTCTTCAACAAGGCACTCATGATTTGACAATGCAGGGAGGACATGTGATTTGTGTCCCCCATCACCGCATTAGTGATAGAACTGTACTAGAATGCAAACCC